TAAATTCTAGAAAACAAAAACAAATTGATAAATAACAAAATTATAAGCACAAATGCACAATAATATTTTAACGCGTAGATTTATAAAACTGTGTTTTGAATCTATAAAAAATGCTCTTAATTTTAATGTTTTTAATTTCTTCTCGAGGTTATAAAATATTAAACCAAAATATAATGTAAACAAATATAAGATCAAATCTATTATTGTTTAACATGCTTAGATACCAATCATTAATGAATTCTATACCCTAGAAAAGATTTCGAATATAATTAATTTACTATTAAAATTAAATCAATTAATTAAAACAACTAATTTACATTTTTAATTTTTTTTTATTTGCTCAAATTTCATTTCGAACTTATGTTTTTTATATATATATATACTCCTGTATTACTTTGTATGATTCTATTCGACATTTTAAAATTTTTATCAATACATTTATATTAAAATTATATAAAATTTTATTGATCATTAAAACTTTTACGAAATTATTAATCGTTTCGTTTGTATACCCTGCATTTGGCGCATAACTCAAACATAGTAAAAAATAAATTCGATGTTTTTAATATATTTTATCAAAGATATTTAACTAAATAAAAATTAACAGTTTACAAATTTACTAAATTGTAAATGCTAAATTATGATTACGCTCAAATTAAATATGAGCTTATATGAATAATATGAATATATTATACATTATAATGTATAACATACGTACCTACATTATTAATGTCTAATACACCAATAATTAACGATAATTATAAACTCTAAAGTGCTTTAAAACTTATAAATATTAAAATAGTATGTCATCATAACTATATAAATTGATGATAATAATTACAATAAATATCTTAAATATTGTAAGATATACTCATACTCGTATAGTCGTATAACCATATTGGTATACTAAACATTTTTTTGAATTTAGATGTTTAAAATCATATCCTGATTACCAAGATAATTATTAGAAAATTCCTAAACATTTTAAAATTATAACCTTACTCTTATTGAAGCAGAATAATTGTTTACTCAATTTCCTTTATAATTTAATCAAATTAATGTAAAATATAATGTATCTTTATTCAAACTAACGTGAAAGGAATAAAGAAAATTCTTCTTCTTACAATACTGCAGCCTTGGCACTTCAAATTTATATTTGACTAAGTCGGTGTGGTGTACAATTTACCGTGACTAAAATAAAAAATGAGTTAAAAAATTAAAATAAATACAGGAATAAAAATTACCTACATACAATTTTAATTTTAAAATTTAAAATTTAAAAATTTAAACTTTAATTGAATATTTGACATAATTCTTAGATTAATGAACCATAATAGGTTTTATATTTGAAACTGCAATAAGTAAATATTCTTCAATCTTAGCTGATATTTGTTTTTATAACGACTAGAACAAAAAAAGTGCTTTCACAAAATTAGCAGAAACAAACGGAAATAGAAACGATACTACTTGTTTTTATAACCCTGAGTATTATATTTAACGGAAATCCAAAATTGATCACTATGTAGTTTTTTCAAATTTGTTACGTACATTTTTATCTGATGAAAACTCAATAATTAGTTCATCGCTTACTTAAATTTTGACTAAGTAATGCAATTTTTATTAATGTTAAAATATTTTCATTAAATGCAGTTATAGTATAGCCCCTTTATTACAAGTTTTCACTGAACTTAATTATAGTTATGATGTTATATACAATTCTATGTATTTTATATATTATAAATTATAATAATGCAGGTACGCTATTGTTCTGTGATTATAATATACCGTATACAGTTATGAAAAGGTATATTGTATATATTTTTATAATTAAAATGTCATAAGGTCATCACAAAAATAGTTTGTATGTTTAACCATCGAATAGTATTGATATTATAATAATTTATATCACAACCTGATAATTTGGTTTATTTCGGTATTTATAATTGGAACATTAGCGTAAGCATTCCAAATAACGGTAAAGTCAATACATATAATGGACAATTGTTCGATTTAATAATAGCATAAGACATTACTAAACGAGAAAATTAAATTTTTAATACATGTTGAAATTGAATACAGTATTTTCTCATCATCCTAACTATATTTAAAATAGAAATAATTATACTTTACTTATGATATACATTTTTTTTATATTAACACATTATGGTTTATAATATAATTGTATATATTATTAATATACTATTAGCCTGGCATCGGTTAAAAATTACAACAAAAAGGTTGTTATTATTTTTAAAATTTTACATTTATCATAGTACAAAATTAATTGTAAATATTTTTAATTTTGAGGGGAAAATATTATTTGAATTTTACACATACATTTCAATTTTCAAGGTTAAACTGTTTACGGCTGAAAGAAGTTTTTCGTATTAATCAAGGTCAAATAATAACTTAATTTTTTTTGGTATGAAATATCTATTTATTCGGTTTTTATTATATTATTGAATATTTTTTTCATAATTGTGTTCGATATTTTTATTTTACCGTCTTTATGTCTTTATATGACTTCAGTTGTCACCAGTTATTTCACAATTTTTCTTTGATTTGTTATTTAATAGTAGAATACAATTATTGAAAAATAAACTACAAACACTAGCGAATTTACTCTAAATATAAAATTCAAATAACACTGTTAAAATAAGAAATAATTTATTAATTTTACATTTTTAAATTTTTTTAACCATTTGGTTGTATAATAACTATTTTAACAATGCACTTCTATAGTTCTATGAATAGTGTATAAGAGTATGACACTATGAAAGAATAATTTTAAAATTAATCAATCTACAAATAAAGCATTTCAATAAAATTAAAATGTTCGTTTATATTTATAATATTTTATAGCTGGTTATTTTGAAGAACATAAAAAAATAATAAATTGTTAATAATACCTAGTCATTAAATAAAATTATATCATTATCTGAAGTCCGAAGACATGTATAACTTCCATAAAAACCAAGATTACTAATTTAAAAAAAATCTCAATGGTATTATACAAAACCCTTTGTAAAATTGGCTCAATTCACCCTATTTCACGATAAAACATAATATCATAAATCATCTGAAGTACCTTCAACTATATCTGTTAGGACAATGTGGCACAGTTGCTTTAATAGGTTATTAAAATCAGATTCAAATTTTTAACGATGGACCATTTATGGTAAATAAATAAACCACCAAATTATCATAATATAATAACTACATAAATAGTATATTATGTATTGATTTAATTTTTAAATGCATTTTTTTTTATGATTTTCGTATACACAATATTCATGTAATGCAGTTTTATTCATTATTTTTTATTTTTAATTAGGTAATTAAATTAAAAAATCTTCAATAAATCAAAAACTATTGTAGTATTAACGCAGTTATAATATAGACTCCGGTACATTTTTTAGATCTTTATTTGTAGGTACATCCAAATTTGTATTAGATTAAAACTTTAGAACTATAAATAATATGTTTTCGGATAGCCTATAGACAATAAGAACTATTTATAAGTTCTAACTTATAATATTTGGAATTCTATAACCTAAATTTGTGAATATATGTTAAATCTGAACAAAAATAACAGTAAAAATTGATAATTTATAACAACGTAGTTTAAAATTCAAATTACCATTCTTATGCTATTTAAAATGTTAAACGATAACTATCAATTAGCAAACCATTGTACAATGTTACATGATATTTGTCGAATTAATCTTCCCGTAGTCTAAATAAACACATTCATTAAATGTAGAGCGTTTGATGAAAAATAAATTACTTATAGGCTATTTCTATAAAATTGTTTAAGTAGCGTTGATCACGAAAATACAGTCGTTACTATAAAATACTGTTTGGCATAATTTGTAAAAAGAATAGACAACAATTTATTATCTTATAGTTCAATAATTTGTTTAAATTCGAAAACCGGTAATATATATATATATAATATCGTTTGGCCTATTTTTTTCAACAAGCTAAAAGACCATAAAAAGTTCAAATACATGTTGCCATTGTAATGTGTACGCTATACATAACCATGGCAAATGGTACGGAAATAAATATTGCTCAACAGAGTGTTCTACAACAAATCATATAGAGAAAACTTGAAGAGGGTTCAAGACTTCAAACATACGTTTGGAAAAATTATTTTTCATCGATTTAGTTGTTATGCAAAATCCACCATGAAACTAAAAGTATTTCTTTTTAATCTATTTTTACTATCACATATATACATAACAATTTGGTAAAATTTAATATAAATTCGTAATGATGAATTCTGACAAATTTAATAAACGTTGCAGATACAGTGAAAATGAAAAAAAAATCCAATTTAAATACTAACCCCTTGAATATATTAATAAAAATATATTATACATTATACGAGTATATGCATGTGGCGTATGTATAACGAACCCTGATCAACATCCTAACCCGCGGCCATATTCTTGTGTGTATAATATTATTTTTTAAAATAAAATCAGGATAAGAGCGAACGATGATGGATAATGATAAAATATATTATGTTTTATATGGCGGAGAACTTCTCAGAAATGGTGGGGTTGGTAACGAGAAAGGTACGTTTTTAAATTATTGTAAATCACAAGCGCATCTACATACACTCAACAGTGAAATAACAGTGAGCTGTTGCGCAGCCGCCACGTGCGGTATATAAACCTTGGTTACTGCCGCCGGTACCTAAATATTATACGGTAGTCTATTGCAAAACGAACTTGTCCATCGGGCTGTGCGCACCCACCACGTTCGGTATACAAACCTTGGTCACCTAAAAACTATACAGTAAGTCTACCGCAAAATGATTAATGAACACGCCCATAATATTATATATTATTATTATTATTGCTTACCCGTACAACGGAAATATAAATAATAAAAACTATCACGAAGATAAAAATATTATTAATTATTATAAATATTTCAAATATAATAACAATAATATTTTACCGCACGCGTCACTTCGTACGTCGGAAGGTACCTACGCCGCCGCGCGGTAGTTACCAATTACCGCGTGGTACGCGTACGCGCGGCGACTGTTGAGCTTGGCAGTTACAGCGTCGTCGTCCCGAGTTCTCGACCGACCGGCTTATCTGTTTAATTTGTGCGTACTCCACCGCCGCTGCCGTCCCGATCCGTGCGGGCGCGCGCGCGTAATCCGTACGGAATACGCGTGTACAACGCCGCCGCCGGAGATAATACACGCGCACACCTTTCCCCGCGGTTCGACGACGCCGCCGCCGCCGTCTGGTAATATAATATATAAGATCCGTTACGCGCATTCACTCGTCTCATAGGAACGACAAGTGCCCGCCGACAAGACGAACAGTGTTCGTACGCCATAATATACATATATGTGTATACGACGTTAGCGTCTTTGCACGTTGGGGTTTTAATTATTCTAAATCGTTTTCCGCGTTCGGAATCGCGCTCTATAATAATATAACAACCGCTCGTTTTGAAAATTTAAAGAAAATCTTTTTTCTCTCGTAAATTTCCGCGGACGGCGTGCCCGAAGTGATTTTTGTCGTGACGATATTTTTTTAATATTGTGCCCATACTGTATACTGTATAGTGTATACAGTGCTCGTGCTGTACGACGACGACAGCGAACATTATCACACACACACGCGCCGCACGCAGCGCAGCTCACGACGGACGCACGCACACACGCGGGCGCGCTCCGCGTACTATAGCACCGTTCGTGACGACTACTAATACTGCTGCTACTGCTGCTGCTGCTGCTGCTGCTGCTAAACTGCGACTACGACCACGAGCACAACTACAACTGTTGCCGTACAGTACATAAGCCAGCACCGGTGTTGCGACGACATTCGCTCGCCGGTAACGACCATCAGCGGGCATCAGCCGCATCCGCAGCCGCCCACCGTCGACAGTCAGCCCGTCTGAACATGACGTCGTCGCCATCAGCAGCTTCCAGCGCGCGCTGTTACGTGCCCAGGTCCGTGATCGTGGCCGTCGTCGCCGCGTTGGCGTCGTGCACCGACGCCGCCACAGTGATGACCAAAATGAAAGGTGAGACTCGTTTTTCGGCTTTCCATTATTTTCCGTCCGTCCGCGTCCTACCTCAACACGTGCTGTGTCCGTCCGCCACGGCCGGTACAAAAAGTATAAGGCACGTTTAGGTAGCGGTTAGCAATAATAATAATAATAATAATAATAATAATTATTATTATTATTATTATTATTATTGTCACAGTAAGTCAGTGGATTTTCTCTTGTCCTCTTCTCCCCCCACACACCTCCACCGCCTCGAGGGTCCGGCTTTGTTTGAACGAAATAATATGGGTCATTTCGCACAACGACAACAATATCGTGTATACGTATATATTATAGCTATTGCGACGTGAAGTAGTCGTCTGACGGTTCATTTTTGTTTAACAATTTTTTTTTTTTCATTCGCCCATCGCCATATTAGCTCGGCTGACGATATAATTTACCTTGGACGATCTTAATACGTGTTCAGGCCGCTGTCTTTACAGCGTATCCGCTTAGATTCTTAATGTGTACGTGACCGCAGACGCGTTTCGGGAGTTTGAGACAGTCACCGTCATCGTTTTCGTAGCATAAACATTACGAAACACGTTAAACGCGCGTCTGGTGTAATGTATATAATGGTTCACGCGTCATTCCGGCCGGCTGGCCGGCGCTCGTATTGATAAATAATTATGATATTATCGTCGTATTCAATCGTGTTCTTCGGGTAAGGTACCGCCACCGCGATAAGCTTGCGGAGATAGTTGTGTTTGTGTAAGTGTGCCTATGTGTATAAAATTGTAATGTGATAAAGTGTACGAGCATTTGCACGGTGGTCACTTTCTTTCAGGTTGAACTTTACCGGTTGTCCTAAATCCGAAACAGTTTGGTTTTACCATACGACGATAAAATGTCGAACACGGGACAAGGTGCATTAAACGAATCGGACCCAAAATACTTGCCGAACCTCGTCCCTCTGACCGTTAAATTTTAATCGATTCCATTTATCAGCGTTGTTTGCTAAGGTCGTCATCGTGTCATCCTATATTAGTTATTACTTATTACTATTATATTTTGTTCGAAAAATAAAACAATTACAACGAGACTATAAAAGTTTATAATCATTATTTCTTCTCGTCGTCAATTTAGCTCTGTACAATAAACGTGATCCGTAAACACGAGCCTATAATATATTTCTGCAATAGAACAATAATAATAATTGATGCGACACATGTGGGATGTGGCAAACAAACGAGCTGGTATTATAATAGTGGTAAAAAAAAAATAGTGAATGCAACACACGTACGAAAACAACCGAACTTTGTAATACCTACGTCAGCACGAGGGACCGGGTTGCGGCGTGCGACGTAAATTACAATATTATATCGTCGTCAATAACTACTTTTTTATTCGGTGGGGTGGCACGATCACGTTGAAAGACGTCGTCTTCCGCCGTACACTTTGTAATAGCGTAAAAACTACTACGACACATTACGAGATATCGGGAATAACAACAAACAATACTTCCACTATTATTATTAACTACTACTACGGTTAACTCTCGCGCTTTTGTTTTGTTATTTCGTTCGACAAACAACCGGCGTAGTAGTGTATAAGTGTTGTACACATATTATTATAAAATACAGAATATGGCGCATTGGCGCTGCTGTTCGCACGTACGAGGACGACAACAGGCGTGTAATTGCGGTCGGCTTGTATAATAATAATTAATACAACACTCACGACTTACGATATCATTGTTCATTAATATTATTTTTATTATTATTTGTGGGGTTGCCAACGAAGCTTTTCGAATGGGTCAGAAAAATATGGCCGAAATCAGGTCCCGCCGACCGCGGTGGTGATCTATATTGTTATTATTTCGCTCGTTTATGGATCGTCGGAAAGGCGTTATGTATGTAGCCATGTAGGTACTTCCGGTAGTCGTCGTGTCGTACACGATAATAATATTAACGCATGGTGTGTAAGGTGGTTTAAGGTTTAACCGTGATTACGATTGTAACACTGCTTACACTTTGTTCGAAAAATCGCGTGGTCGCGGCATAATAATAATAATATTACAATACGGTTGGTGTACGTGCGAGAAAACGAGTTCCGCTTACCCACATCACGTGTATATACAACCGAGTGAGTATGTGTGCGCGCGCTTGCTTGCTTGGATATATACATTATATTAAACATATCGCTGAAATCCTCGTGCGAGATTTTTATTCACGTTTAAACATGATGTTATTATTTTCATTTGGTTTTACGTCGTACCCTTTACGTAAATGAATGTTTACTACGTATCGTTATTATTATTATTATTATACTGTAGTTTTCGTTAGCGTACTTAAGTTTAGATAATTAAGTTTAAAGGTCACCAAAATCGTTTAGCTCCTCCCTTCTCCCATCTCTTATTAGTGTTTACACGACAACTTTCAAACGGTATAAGTAAATTACCATAATACTTATTATTGGCTGTGTAGAATTTGTTTACCTATTTCTACTTGATGAAATGGTATAATATGTACCGAAGCTGATCAATAAAATTATTTTTCTCGTCATCTCGTCATGATCACCTCCAATGACTCGATATTGCGGTCCTACATCATTTTTTTCTAAACCGCCGCACGCGGACTTCAAGAAAATCCTACGTATTTATTTATAATAATAAACATATGCCATTATGTTTGTTTACTTTCCGTGTGTACTTCGGTTACGGAATTTCTTGGTATCTCGAAGAGACGAAAAGTTCCCCCTCTATACTCTCTCGTACACACTTTTTTCCTCTCTTTTATGTTGGCGTGTCGAGAATGTCGGTCATCCTCCGCATGATAGGTCGTCGTCCACTCGCACCCCTCTACTAATCTCCAACCTGTTACATAGATGACGGACGCGTGTGTCAGCACTAAGCATTAGTGATTTTATTATCATTGTTATTGTAAATTAATATTTAACGACGGAGACCTCCAATATCCGATTTCATTAAGTTGATATGATTATTTAACAATTCCATACGTCGTATCATCGAAGTATGTCAAAACGCGCAATTGACGTGGGGATTCTTCGGCGTATAAAAACAAAAACTCGTAAAAAAATTGCTCTTTTATCGGCATTGACGTTGGCGTAAAAACTACTCGTCGAGGTCGTCGTTTAAATAAACAGTACGTAGTATAATTGTAGCTATTTCGTGATGATATTATTATTATTGCGCTCAAATCGATTGTCGTCGTCACAAAAACAATAAATTAATATTATTTTCCAATAAACGGTTTGCAGGCGATAGAAGAAACGTGGCTGTTGTTGTTATTATTATTTTTTGTAGTAGCGCAGCGCCGCTGTATTATTTATTACAATATTTATATACGTTATTTTTTTGTTTTTTTTTTGTCGTAGATTCCGATGTCGCGCCGGACAAAACGACGCATTCGTCGGTCTCGCGCGTGTACTCGAGGTCGGCGACCTTTGCGAATGATTCATAATAACCGTGAACCCCCTCGCCCCCGTCCCATTGACCATGACACAGCTGATGTTCAAATAATAAAAATATACCATACTAGGTACAGAGATATCGTATCGTCGATTGATATTATAATATACAATTAATCGATGACGTTGTACACTGTATTAAAAAATAAATGCTGTTTATTTTCTGCGTTTGGCAATGCAATCGTCGCCGAAACTATAATTAAATAATGTGACGTATTCGCGCATGTGATCGATCGGTTTTAATAAATTGTTGGTTTTTTTCTTGTTTACAGACGCCTCCATGTTTAGATCTAAAGGAGCCGTTGATGTGGACGGAAATGTCGCCGAATCAGCCATGAAGGATAACGCCGAAACATACAACTTTAACGCTCAAAACTACACACACGTCTCCAACATTACCGGTAAGTTTGATCGTAGTACGGCTATTGAATTATGTAATTATAATTTGTAGGCTGGTGGGTGGGCGCTCTTATAACAAAATGGATGGGATCGAGAATTTCAGTTAGGTAATTTCTTCGTAAATATCCCACGGTGACGGGGACGACAACCGCAACTAATATCAATTTGAAATGTTACTCAATCCCCTAGTCGTTTGATTTCCACGACGTTGTCGTATTTAATGTTCTCGGTGAGTCAGCTATGAAGATTATACAAAGGTATATAATGAACATCATTCATAGTTTGCATTAATTGTATTTTCCGTGATATTAGACGGTCTCTAGGAATTTCAGATCTTTGACATCTGACTCACTGGCTGTTATCACCACATTAAACTGATGTAGACATAAAACGCTCATAATCTTTTTAATCCCAATAAATAACACCCTTGTCGATTTAACCCGTTTTGAAACAAAATAATTAACCAAAGTCAATAAACAGTTATCAAAAACACATTAACGCGAGTTTCGCAATTACCACGTGCCGAAATCGTATAAATATAACTTCGGTGAATTTTTCTTATTACTTTTTCGTAATACTGTTATTTCTGTGTATTTATATACTATATTATTTTAATGGAGTATAATGTTTCTTATAACGGTGATAATTTATTGCATATAAAGGAAGGTTTAGAATAATTATTAGAACACGAATAGGTTTACGGATTTTAAACTTTTGATAATAGTAATATAAATTTGATTTCGATCTCTTTAACCGGTGTAGACATTTATAATTAAGTAATTAATATGCATAAAATTTGTATATTTTTAGAGTATACGTTTATAACTTTTTATAAACATATTAAGTTCGTATCGCTCGTTTACCGATTTGTTTTATTCGCCGCAGAGTCAATAATACCTTTGAGATCGCGCGTGGCGTTTAATTCGCAGTTTATCTATTATTATGAGTCAAGCGCGTGCCGCCCGATAGTAAATAGTTAACGGTAGTTGGTTATTTTATTTATTACGCAGATAGATTGGTTGATGATTCTCTATTTATTATAAAAATTTGTTGTGAATGACATTATGTTGACGTAATAATTTAAAAAAATTTCTGAGGTTCATTAATTATATGACACTTAAATTTACCATTCGCCTGTGTATAATAAATTATTAATAATTAAAAATAGATTAGTAATATAAAATTGTTATATACGTTTTCAAAATTAACGAACATTACTCTTATATATAATGTATATTCTTAATACTAAATGTAATTTTACTTTACGTCACTAGAATACGACTTTTTGTGCACATAGTCGCATTTCGCTAAAATACCGTTAAAAGTTTGAGCCCATCAAAAATCGTGTCTATTTTATGGACGTTTCAATATTCTATTTAAAATAATTTAATTGCAGTCGACATTGAAATATTTACTTCAATAAAATTAATCCTCTCATATCGAGTGTTTGATGACCATCTTATCATCGCGGGACAATATATTATATACATAAAAAAATAATACGTTTAATGGTTTTATATATATACCGTTAATTAGATATTATTTATTATCTATAATTCGCTGTTTACCATTGATAGGCGGCGGGTATATAGTATTTAATATTATGGCCGACGACCGTTCCATCTATCTTATCTCTCTTTGCAGTTGGTAATAATTTTATTTTTGTAAATGCTTTATTAATCCTCTTCGCGATTTTTGCTAATAAAATCATAAACAAATATGTAATCCGTATTTTGCACTCGAATTTTATTACCGAATTCTGTCCATCATATTATCACCTATAATTATTATCAATATTAAACCTCGCCTTATCGCGCGCGCACGTCAAGTGTCTGTGGATTTAAACAAATTATATTCGGCTGTTTTCGAAATTTATTTGTGGATTTTTTTATTATATTATCGCTGTCAACGTCTTACGCATATAGGCTGCACAATCAGACGATGTAGTATTTTTACAAGGGCGTCCGCAGAACCAGACGCGGTGAAGCAAATATGTAGGTAATCACATTTTGCCAGGTGCGGTGCAAAAATAATAGTCATTAGGCAGGTTTTAAAAATATCCAAGATCACTTTATACACACCTCTTACGTTTATATCAACGTAATAATATAATTCGAACGTAGTGAACGGCTTAGTATAATATCGCCCATGTCGCGTTATAATGCGTTTCTATTATTATAGTCCATTTCAGTACATTATCACGAAATTAATTTGCTCCTCCGTAATACGACGGTTGGCAAATATATTTATATATTTTTTAAATTATACGCAGCATCTAAGATTGCGTCCCATTATAGTGTTTTCAACCCCCGCCTATAAACATATACGTAAACCGGCATTTTACATACCCGACATACAAACACAACGCGCAAACTATAAATTTATTAATTATAATTTATTATAGTTATAAGTACATCTAATCGAAAATTATTTTAAATCCCAGAGTTGTAAACTGATGAGACCGAATTTTTATTAAATTTTATGTCATCGTTAATTCTTTCATTCAACGACACTTTCGTCATTTTCGTGTCGCGTATCTGCAAAAATTTATTATTATTATATGCATAATAAACATTTGAAATATATCTTAATCCGCATTTGCGACTGCACACACATGTATTATAGCGACAAGCGACGAATAATATGGTCGTTGCGTAATACTTAACGAGCCCATAAAATATATGTATATTATAATATATTCAGTCGCTATACCTACTTCAATGTAAGACTTCGGGCTTATGAAAATATGTATAGAATGTACAAAATTCGATACGTTAAGTCAAATTCCGTCGTAAAATAAAATAATGACGTCATCGAAGAAATCTAGATCGAACCGAAAAGCTGGAAATGAATAATGTAGTAATATTGTAAATAATATACATAATAGCTGTCTGGTTAATATTATTAGTTCGAATTTGAATAATGGATTGTAAGGTTTTTATTTATTGGGATATCTGCAGAAAATTAGTTCAGTGGGTGCAAAATTGTTTTCGACCTTGATTCTCCCTTTTCCTTACCCTCTGAATAATTATTTATATATATAATGAGTGAGTAAAAGAGTCGCATTGTCACTCATGATATTTTTACATCCATTTTTTTTATTATTATTATTATTAATATTAACTATAATTGGTTCTCAAATTACTTCAATTGATTTCTGTCACCATAAAATATGTATTATATTATCAAAATCGGCGTCGTTTCGAAATGTCTATGGGTTCATAACGTATAAAGTATTAGTGATGGGGTCGATATAAGGGGTGGAAAAATCGCCCTACTAACTCGTATTGTGATTATAAGAGACTTTAAATTTTTTAACGAAAATATGTTTTATTTTTTTTGTGATGCGCAGACGCGGAAGACGATGACGGAACGTCTGGTGCAGTAGGCGATGAGGAAGCGCTGTCCGCCGTATGGTATCTGGCCGCGTTCGGCGGCCTGGTGCTGTTCTTCTTCGTGGTCACGTGCTCCGAATTGTTCTTTGGAAATCCCATCTATACGCGCCGTCCCGTAGAGCTGCCGCACGCCGGCTACCTACGCCGACACGTGTACGGCATCCGGAACCACGGACAGCACAACTACAAGCCCGAGACGCCACCCCCGCCGTACCACCTGTTCGCGCCACCCAGCTATGATGACACAGTCAAGGGAGGATTCGGACAGGTGCAGCAACAGTATCATCGCGCTCCGATTACCACCGGCAAGAAGCTCCCCGACGTTTATGTGGTACCCATACACGCGGCCACGACCACGACCACCGCCGCCACCACCTGCGCCGCTACCTGCGCCACGTGCACCACGAACGCCGCAGCCGTAGCCGTGGCGGTGGCCGACTCTAAACTACTGGCCGCCGTACTACCACAGACGAAATTCAAATAATAGTCGTCATGGCCGCCACCCACACTCAAATCCCTCCCCTAATTCTCCCTCACCGTTCATTCCCTTGGGCTGCCCATGGATTTTTACTTCTTCAGACGGATGAACGGGAACGACTGTGACGACAATGACGACATTGAAAATATAATATAGTTCTATCAATTTTTTTCGCGCAAGATGACGACGCACGCGTATAATTTATAATAATGTTATAATCAAAAAACAATGAGTTATAAAATAATATCTCGTATGATATTTTCTCTCAATCACTCTCTCTCTCTCTCTCTACCGTCGTGTCGTATAACAGGCGCGTTCTTTGATCTCATTTTTATACATATATGTGTACATATCCAAATGTTATTTTTATACGCCATCACACACACGCACATTACCTTGTACGTGCGTAAATATATTATTATAAATGATTATGTAATACGATAAACGCGTTATGATTTGTACACGAGCATAATATTATAATGATCGTCCAAACATTGTTGGTTATTATTCGTTCACACGACAAGATTATCAACAAAATCGTGTTTATATAATTTATTATTTGTACAACTCAAACGAGTACTTTCCAAACGTTTTTATATATTATTATTATTATTGTTGTTGTGTGTGTGTGATTTTTTTTTTTTTATATATTATACATAATTATTTATTATTTTATTTATAAACATATAATATTATATTTAATTTTTGTATGCACAAACTCGTGCAGTAGTATATAACATTGCAATAACGATGTATCATATTATTTTATTATTAATCGCGTACACGCGTCAGTCTGAACACTCTGAACAGTAGCAAACTGTGTCGCGATATTGAGAACGAGCGCCTGTCTGAACACACACACGTCTCTACGCGGCAGTCAAGTACGAGCCGCCGCCGGACACACTTTCGACGCGCCGCGGTCCATCGACGCACTTGCCACGTGTTCCTGTATACCCTATGGTTCTATCGTCCGGTGTACGTGCAGCCTCGCATAACTTCGTGGGGGCCACTCAGTTTCCATTATCTTTACTAAATTATGTGTACACAATATATTTTATTATTTTATATGGTATAAACTTAAAGGATAAGTTATGATCCGACGGTTATTTGATTTTGATATTGTGAACCTAAATATTGTTTTTTGTGACTATCGACGTGTATAGTATACGCGTATATATGTTTTTTGAACTTTTATTGAATGAATGTGTTGAACGTAGCCTATATTAGGCGATTTATTTTCTTTCTTTTTATAATTTATTTATTAATAAACTGTTACCAAACACATTTTTGACTAAATAAGTTGTGTTATTATTTATCATCATTAACCATATAATTTCACATCACAAATGTCGGGGTGAGTTGAGCAAATAACATCAGAAATCAAATCTTTAAATAATACATCATTATACAAATTATAGTATATTATCATGATTTGTGACGTGTAAATACTGATAATGTGAATTTTGATAACTTTTTGATTTCTGATTTTGTATATTAAACCTAATGTAGGATCTGAGATTGTACTTCGTGTCATTGTTTTCATAATCACCTTTTTTATTTACAAACTGATTTTATTCACAATATATATGAGTTCAAATTTATGTTAATACTATAAGATCTAAATAAAATAGATCAGTATGGTCCAAATTTTTTAAATTCGTGGGTCATTATATAATCATTAAGTAAATAAATGTACTGTATAGAAGTACGGACTGTTAATGAAAAAAAATAGAATTATTATTATTTATTTAATAAACATAATATACAAAACTCAAATTACATATATACAATTTATACAATAAATTATTAAAAAACAGAAAGATAAATAAAACATTTTTTTAAATTGTACAAAATATTATATTATTTTATAAATTTTAAAGTAAAATTATTAAAATAGTCCAAGTATCGTACGGCTAAACCAAAAGTACAGCGGGTTGGACTACACCAACCAAGACTATCATAGTTGGTAAAAGTATTCCAAATGGTGATAAAAATAATTAAAATCAATTATATAGATGGGTATCCTAACAATTCAACAAGATCAAAACAAATAAAAAGCGATATAAGTAATTACCTAGTACTATAGTGTACACTATACACTGTATAGAATAGTATATTGTATAATTTATACTTTTCAAAATACGATGTTATATACATATGTATGTCTTATTAGTACGTGCCATTAGATCACTAGCTTAAACGTAAAATCGCCAATCAAAAATAAATGTTAATATGCCATAAACTCGTAAATAAGCAGTCCCTAATTGAACCGGCTAGTTATTAATGATTGATCGTAATTTTATTGTTTTATGGAAGTAATAAATTAGTGAAAACACTGAAAACATTAATAGAAAATATTTGAATCAAATTAGTAGCTGTAGCTGTGATCAAACGTTAGAAATCCTAAAACAAAGTAGGCCGATACCTTACGTATCTGATGCTGATGATGAAGCAAATGACCTTGTGTGTCCAGGTCTGTGCATACGTGACATAACGTGTATAAAAAACAACAAATATCGAGATTGCATCATATAATTACAACTTAAAAACTATCACTCTATCCTTGTATACATATTAATCGATATTATAAATGGTGAAGAAATATATTGTTTCCGCCAACACAGACACAGTGTTTAATATAGCTCTGGCCGCTCCGTGGTGTAAACAATTAGTTGAAAAAAACAAAGTATTTAAATACGAAGCCTTTGGAGTTTGAATGGACGGAAAAATGTTTAATTTAGCGTTATAGTTACTATCAAATGTTTGATTAAAGCCATGCCTGTTTATATTCGTGTCAAGTCGATATATTATTTCCGAATGTGTTCCGTTCGAATTATTAGAAAAAAGGAATATTAATAAAAAAATATCTTGATGTTATATTATTTTAACATAAACTACACCTGCTCATGATGTGTTGTATTATGTTTTAAAATTATACCTGCTATGGTTTTTCAAACATTTTAGAATTTTCATAATAATTAATCGTGTTGTACCTACAATAGGTATTTTAAATTTAATTTTTACGTCATTATTGTACTTCATAATGAGTATGACACCGTAACACTACATAAGTACAGTACATAACTATAGTTAATAATTACCACTTGTTGTATAGACATAACTATGCAAGTGTGTTTTCGCAAATCGCAAGTGTGTTAGATTAGATTATTGTTATTCTTTTTGTTTTATATTATCATTTCTATCGCACTCAATATAATATTATGTGAGTTTTGTATGTATAGATATCGAAGGATACCCAGACATGATACTAAATTGATATATCATTGAATTTGCAACGTACCAACATACTAAATAAAAATTATCATTGTATATAAAGTATAATACCATAGAAATGGTGAATTTTTTCGGCATGGGAAATGTAAATTAAACTAGCTCATGCACTTCAAATGTAACTTTTCCCCTTTTCTCACCCAATAAAGATATTATTTTACTTAAAAATTTGTTTGGTTTTGCTCTTTTAATTAATAAAACATAAAATAAACTATAATTATAGATATAAAAGTTTTGCGTTTGTCAAATAAGTTAACCTGTTTGATTTGAATTTGAAATTTGATGTTATTAAATTTTTTATTTTACATAGAAAATATCTTTAAATATTTTGTAACCTATAAAAATATTAACATTTTGTATAGTATAGTTAATTACGTTAATTTTTTTGTCTAAAACTTTTATAGAAATGTATTTTATTATTTTTCTAATTTTTCATAATATTATAGTACATTTAACCTTTACTATATAAAAACAGTTTATTATTTTCTCCATAATCATCAATTTTTAGTTTCTTAATTTTCAAAAATTAGGTAAGAAAAAAATAATTTTATATTACATCATCCAGGTAACACAAATACCAACATTTCCATACATATTTATAAGAGATTTTATATACTCTATACCTATAAAGAAAGGAGAACGTTGCAAGTATTAATGCTATGATTTTATAACATTGTAATATGACCTTTTTTTCACCAACATACTTGCAGTATCTATAAATAAATTTATTTATGTGATCTACAAAAGTAATTATTTAAGTTTATAACAATCAATTGTAATTTATAGACTGTTTTTAATATAATTTGTTATTTTTGTTTGTGTTATGATTTGACTTAATATAAATATAATAATTAATAACTTATAAAAGTCAATATTAGTTGTTATTATCAGTAATATAAGTACTATAATAATAGTATAAAAATAATATCTACATATTTATTTTTTTAATATTTTATGCTTATTTTTCTTAGCGTAAACGATTTAGTAGCTTAAATTATTGAATTAATTTCATGTTATGTTTTATAATATTGCTATTAGATAAAGGAATTTATTTTACCAATACAGTATACTGTATATCTATAGATTGATAGGTTTGAATTAATTTTTAAATATATATCAATAGTATTTGAACCAAAAAATGAAAAAACTCCCTCTAAATAATTTCACAATTGTACACAGCCACACGGGTATTATTTTATATGTACCTACACAAATATATCACTATAGCAATTTATATTAAATATTTTTTACAAACATAATCTGTAGTATTTAGTATTATTAAATAAAAATTCAAGCCTATGACGTTATTCACAATCATAGTCGACAGTTGTATATATTTTTTATTTTTTTTAAGTGTTATGTTAATCACAATATAATATTAAAATCCGTCTGAACAACTATTTATAGATTGTGTGGTTTACTGGCTTATTTTTGTTATAATATTATAATAAGACGATGTTATTACATAAGAAATAAGTTATCGCGTATTTGCCATTTATTGTTCAGACCACGAATTAAAATATTATGATTCGTGGTTCACATCTCAAAAATTTGTTCCGTCATTTTTAAAATTAACTAAAAATAACAAAATATTAATTATTTTTACCACACCAGGATCAAGCCATTTTTTTATCTTATAAAAGCAAATCAGGCTACCGGGCATTATCCTGGTTGCCCGGTGTAGACCACTTATTCCGTCCATGTCCCTTACACTAAATTTATATAAAATCTTTTATATATAAATGATTAGTATAATAAGGTATATTTAAAACATAACTAATTATTTTTCTTATTTAAAAAAAAAAAATGCGTTTTCTTGTTTACATTATGCATATTATCAATCATTAAAAAGCAATGTCTACCACCTACTACCTATAGAACTCAATTCGAACTAGTCAATAGTTTCTTTCATTTGTTGCTTGAAAAATTTTTTATTTTTATAATTTCATACCTTTTTCGATAAATATTAATCAACCCTAGTTTAATTACTATTATAATTTTTTATTTATGTAGATCTATATATTATAGCGAGTTATAAGCCTATTACTTAACTATGTACCACAGTCCACAGGTAACAGTCAATGAATAATACTCAGATAACTAAATTAATATGCAGTAACATCATAAGTTACCAAAATAAATGGAATGATAAATTCCCGGTATTTCTGTTCTTTCGCGATTGTATTTACATCAGTGCTTAAATACGACAGTTTCTCATAATTTGTGTTTAGTATTACTTACTACCTATTTACTATTTTTTGTTATATTATTTATATTGGTCATAAATATGGCCATAAATTATAAATTAACAAAGAAGACATTTTATATTTTATTATTTATTTGAAAATTCCAATTTAAATTCATCATCTGACCCTCCACCCCAGATAAACCTTTATTGAGCACAAATAAGTTGCGATGACGGCTTAATATATTCGTTATTATTATAAATGAAACATCTTTTTGGAACTAAACGCTTTAGTGTATATATATACTACCTAGCAATAGATTAGAGCTTCAGAATGTCTAACATATAGTAGCAGCTATGAAGTGTACCTACTCGTAAATAAGTACCGAATTAAAACATTAAAAACTTTAACATTTAGGCGGGAACTTTTTTTTGAACGAAACACGCAGACACTATAATATTATATTGTTGTATAGAAAAAGAAGTGTGGATCAGAACACTAATATTGATATGATAAGTTAACGGAAACTTGGTGATTTGATAAACACTCACCAAGATGATGTCAGGATATGGCTGCTCTAATGAATTTTTGTTTTGCATGGTTAAAGTACCAGTATAGCATGTAAGCACTTTCAGATGACGAGTCGAGTCGGACATGAACAAAGTTGCAGTTAGAATAGTTACATAAATTCCAGACTCCATACCGGTTATAAACTTTAATTTTTTCAATTTTTATTTTTTTTTGCTAACATGAAAGCCTAATTTTGAAATTCATACTACTCTTCTTTTTTTGAAAAATTAAAATCACATGAAGTGGCCA